GCTATCTTTCTCTACAAATAACACCTAAGAAAATAACTTAATTTTTTTTTTTTGAGACAGGTCTTACTCTGTCACCCATACTGGAGTACAGTGAGGTGAAAAAAATCTTAAGTTTTGATCAAATTGTAGAAAATCATTTTTAAAGGTCCAACGGAATTCATTTAAATATATGCATCCCATACTGTTTTATTTTATTTCTTGAATTTATACATTGACTTACTTGTCTAGAATTATAATAAAACCATTAAAAATCTACTCTGTGATAAAATAAACACATGATGCTGACAGAAGACAACAACAAATGCTTCTGAAATTACTTTTTCAGCTCTGGGATCCTCAGTAATTGCACATGAATGAAAGAAGGCAGAGAAAAGCATTCAAGGATTATTTTGTTATCAGATCTAATGTGTTCTATTGATGAGTAATAGAATGAATTAATGAGAATTTGGAATTACCTCTAAGTGTACCAAAAAGAGCATATTTTGGGAAGTTAAGCAGAAGAGGCCATATAGTTCATCGGAATCTACATGGAAAATAAAACTATGGCAACTGTTCACATTACTTAGGCCAAATAATAGCCAAATTCCCACCACCATCATTGTAATCATCAACACAATCAAGAAGAGCTCTTAATGAAGCAAGAACCAAATAGGAAAATTGAGCTTCGAAATCTGAAAATATATATATATACTTTTGCATGCTTTACTTCAGTGAATAGTTCCTTTTTCTTTATATAAAATTCAGTTTTAGTTGAAAGAAAAATGTTAAACTCACTTCACTTTAAATTGAGGTGATTTTTAAAATATTTTGGGCTAAAATAAGTCTTTAAATGGAAATATTTTAACATTATCCAAACAGGCAGTCTAACAAAGTTTATAGAAAATTTAATTATTCCAATGTTTTTTTAAAGTGGGAAACATGTACAAAAATTGGCCATAATATTAATAGATTTCAAGTGAAAGGTATTTTTAAAATGCTGTGTTAAATTAGTTTACCATGAAATCTTGGCTTTTTGAATATCTCATATAAGTTTTTGACCCCTGCATTAAATATGCAGAAGTATGTGTTGAAAAACAGACACAAGACAAGAGGGCACTTCAGAGAGTGGGAAGACAATGAGCCAAGATGAGCATGTGGGAAAGCATAATACATGTTTTAGGAAACTGTAAGGAAATTCTGGATTTATAGAGGATAAATCTGGAAATGAAGGCAAGAGCCAGATTGTGGATTCAAATAGCATGATAAGTAGTTCAGACCCTTTCAAAAATCAGTCATGAAGCACTAAGAACTTCCTAGGAAAAGAGTGATCATATGAATGGGGTAGTCTGGAAAGATTTATCTGGTTACAAGTGGATGGGTTGGTGTGGAGCAGGGAAAACACTGGAAGTGGGGAGTCCAGCTGGAAGACCTGAGCAAAGATTCAGAGGTGAGATTAATGATGATGGTGGAGATGAGAATGCAAAATGAAAAATGAGGACAAGATGCTCTGCAAAAAGAGAAAGAGGTAAATAGGATACAGTTTCAAAGATTTCTAAAGAGGTCCCCAAGAGAGTGATTATGGCCTTAGCAGCCATAGGGAATCATTTGCTCCTTCATAGAGTAGTACATTTTTTAACTGCCCCCATACCTTGATAATAGGTTTTCTACCATATAGGACCTATTATTCTTGAGTACACAGTTAACTTCTATTCAGTCTTTAAGAAACCCAGCTCATTTATCTTATCTGCTTTCTGGAATCAGTTTTGTGTTCTCCCTTTTAAGTGTCCTAGGTATAAAATTTTTATAACACTTAAGTTAATTTATCATAAGATCTATTGACTTGTCTTCTCCTCAATTAGATTACCAGCTCCCTGAAGGTGGAGACCACATTTGTCCATTTTTCACAATGAACCCAGTAGCACACAGTAGAAACCGAATTATTGTTTGATGAAGAACACCCAGGAAAGTTAGAATGACACTAAGTCAATAAACAAACAAACAAAACAAGCAAATAAGTGAAAGACAGAAGTGTGCATATATATGGAATAGAATAGAATAGAACAGAATAGAAAGATCGAGGAAAGTTGTTTATCAACATGTTGGATAGCTAATAGAAATAAGATTGAAGAAAATGATAAAAACCAGAAATTGACTAGTCAGAATTCCAGAGTACGAGGGGTGCTGTGGTATGCAGGCCTGGTATGGAGGGTTCACCCTGGTAGTCCAATACTTTCCACAGTTTTCAAAAGATTTCTTATGCTCTTCAATTTTCTCACCTCAGCTTCTTATATCTCCATTGTCAAGAATGCCATCTCATCTTGATCCTCTATTTTAATATCTACTTATGCATGTGTAAAGCACAAATCAAATACCACTATTGCATGACACCTTCCCCGGTCTTTTATTTCTCCGAATCCCTAAGTAATCTTTTTTTCTTAATATGCAGCCTGAAGCCCACCTGCATAAAATCCCATAGTGGGTGGTGCAGAAGAAGTTTCTCTCTACAGACATAATCTATCTAACAAATGTAGAAGGGGTAAAATAATTTGAATCATCATTTTACAACTACAGATGAAGGGATTTAAGCAAATAAGCATTGATGTCTACAAAATCATTAGTGAGGAAAAAGCTAGTAGAAACTTAATGATGGATGGATCAATAATCTGATAGTACCTAAACGCACTCATCAAATTCAAGATTATAAAAAGAGATGAGGAGACATTATATGCCTCCTTATGGAAGGACACAAAATACCTTCTAATATATTCTTGTCAAGAAAAAAATATGTTTGAATTTGGCCAAATCTCTTTCCATAAAATCCAGTTAAAAGGAAAACGTGAAAAGATAATAGTGAGTAGAATTTTGCATAATCCCGTATGTGGGAAAAGAACTGCAAAAAGTAAAATTTTAAAAGAAATGAAAAAATGTGTAGATTAAAATATATAAAAAGAAATTTCAAGACATGTCAACCCGAAGTGTGGATATTTGGGATCCTAATTTCAAAGAATCCAAATTTGCAAATCATTTATAAGATGCCAAGGTAACGAGAACACTAACTGGTTTTTAGAAATTTACTGTTAATTTTTTTTTAGGTTATGTAATAAAGCATCAATTTTAAAGCATTGCTACATATCTTGAAATACTTTTAGATAAAATGATAAGATGTCTGGAATTTGCTTCAAAACAATGTAACAGTGGCAGAAGCATGGTGAGTGTGATGGTATAAATAAAACAAGATTGATTATCATTGAAGTTGGGTAATAGCCACTAGTTTACATTTATATATGTTTAACATTTTTAATTTTTAATTCATTTTAAAATATAGGTTCCTAGACCCTATCTCAGAATTATTGAACTAGAATAGCTGAGAACGGTTCTGAGAATCTGAACAATTAACATGTTCTGAAGTGATTATTACGCACACTAGGATTTGGAAATTATAATGCTAAAACAATTTATCTCATTATCTTACCCTTGTCAGAGAAACGAAGCCAACTATATATATATATCTTATCTTTAAGGATAAAGAGCCCTGTCTTTATCAGGTTTGCATTTCCCAAGAATATGCATGTGTGTGTGTGTGTGTGTGTGTGTGTGTGTGTGTGTGTGTGGTCATATATAAATATATGTATATATGTGTATGTATATAGTTAGTATGCACTCAATAAAATGCTAGTGATATCTGACAAAATATTTACTTTTGTTTAGTTTGAACAAATATTTCAGATAGAGTATACAACACTTACCCACACATTCCAACATGTCAGGTCCATTTGGCATCAAAAATGTGTACCTTGTTATAGCTGTTAGCAATAGTCTTTTGTCACATGAAATTTATTTCTCAGCTGGTGGTATTTAACATTCTTAAATTGCCAATATAGCCATACCTCAATTCGCAAATATAACATCTAACAAGAGTAGAAAAATAGCCTCTTCTTTCACATTTGGAGAGTAGGTATTATAAGCAGCCATGTGTAGTATATCCACACTCATACTATAGATACCCATATAATATTTCACGAAGATAAACTAAAATGTTTTTACCTGTGATTACTCCTAGACTTTTTCCTTTTGAATTTTTTGTTTACCTGTTTGCAATGTTTCATTTATTAAATACAACTTTGACTTTAAGAGACTATGCTTAGGAAAATGTAATCTTTTGAGAATTGCTTTCCCAAAGACTTAATATTTCCTATAATTGGAATCTTTGAAAGATGTAGACTATAACAGATTCTGTAACAGAGTCTGTCCTACTACCAGTCCAGGGTTCTGAATTTGTCACTAGCTAGTTAAGTAACTTTGAATAACACACTATTTTTCCTGGCTCCTGGTTTCCCTACATACAGTTGATCTTTGAACAACATAGGTTTGAACTGAATGGGCCCACTTACATGTGGATTTTCTTCTACTTCTGCCACCCCTGAAACAGTAAGATCAACTCCCCCTCTTCCTCTTCCTCCTCAGCCTACTCATGATGAAGACAATGAAGATGAAGAGCTTTATGATGATCCACTTTCACTTAATGAACAGTAACCGTATTTTCTCTTCCTTATTTTCCTAATAACATTTTCTTTTCTCTGGCTTACTTAATTGTAAGAATACAATATATAATACACATAACATATATAAAACATGCATTAATGGATTTTTTATGTTATGGTGAAGCTTCTTCCTGGTCAACAGCACACTATTAGTAAACTTCTGAGGGAATCAAGGGTCATATGTGGATTTTTGACTGCATAGAGGACTGACATTCCTAACCACTGTGTTGTTTAAGGGTTAACTGATATAATTCTAAAATAAATATGTCAGTCTACTCTTAGATCATCTCTAAATTTGCCTCCAGTTTTATAGTACTTTGCATAACATTTAAGCACAAAACACAACCTCTACAGAAAAAAAAAGACATAAAATGTTCTCACCTCACAGTCTCATATGACAGTTTTAAGGTCAAATTCATACAGTTCTGTTCTGAAGGTATAAATACAGGAATATAAAGGACTTTTCCCACTTTGGCTTACCTGCTTATGAGCATGATCATAAGAATTAATATGATTGTCAAACTCCTGGTGTTTGTGATACTGCTTGTCACATAATTCACAGTAAAAGTTTGCCTTTACATCACCCAGGGCCTTTGCTGTGGACTTCTCCTTCTCTGCAAAATCCTTTAAGAAAAAAGAAAAAAAAATGTTGGTTACACTTTTCTCTAATACCATAACCAGCTCTCATATTAATCAAGTTGGTATTTAACTTAAAGGAATATGATGGAGCACATTATTTTCTGGGAACTCATGGCACTGTGAAAGTAACGTTTAGTTTAGCATCATCCCTAACTTATCAACCACCATATTATGAGTTCTCCTAATATAGGCCTTTGGTGGAGCCTGGTTTTTACTCATTCTTCCTCTTGTCACCCATTTCTAGGTTGTGATTATGCCTATTACCAAGGACATCACTGGCCATTTCTTCTTTATCTCCTTCATAGGCCTCTGTTTTTCTGATACTATGCCCTAAATGTTTGTGTTCCATGTAATTCTATCTTCAGGCAAATGATTTATCTATTTTATATGCTCTCCCAGGGGTGCCCCCATTCACACCATAGATAGAGCCTGCCGTATCCATAACGTTCAACGTTGCCTAAGCCTCTTCCACAAACATCAGTTACTGCTACACATTACTGAAGGCTTTATGTCCATGTTCTTCAAAATATTCTCCTTAACATTTTTAGTATGCTCCATTTAAAAAAGTTTTGACTACATAATTCTGCTTAAAATCCTCTTTAACACTCTCTTTGATTATAGAATAATAATGGCAAATGTTTACTTAGTACAAACTATGCACCAGGTATATGAATTATCTCATCATTCCTTACAACAATTCTGAGTTAGGTTCTATTTTTATCTGCATGATAGATGCATCAACCAGTGCTTAGAGAGATCACACTCATGGTCACCAAGTTTACAAGTGGAGAAAGAATTTAAATTCAAATAATCTATTCCTAGCTCCTCTGTTAGTAAACAACAGTAATTTGCTAACTTCCTTAAAAGCCAACCTTCTTAATATACCAAAAACTTCTTACCTTGCATGTATCATATTTTATCAAATGATTCTTCTATATTTTCCTCTTTAATTGTATTACCAGATACATTATATAGCATTAAATTATCTATTTTCATGTCTATTGTTTCCACCAATTTTTTGAGAGAAGAAACTAATTTATTCATTTTTCTTACACAGTGCTAAACAACATGTTGTCTAGCCTAGAATAGGCGTTATTTAATATGCATTACATAAATAAATGGATAATCATGATTTATATATTTATACCTTATACTCTTCTACAACTTCTGCTATATTATCCCAATACCAAATAAAAAGAGTGATTGGCACATTGAAAATACCAAATAAATATGTATAAAGAATGAATGAACAAACTAAAGCATGGGTTTTATCTTTGTTTCTCCAAAATAACTACCCTCAATAGAAAGAAACTGGATCATAAATGTACATCATAGGCAAATAGCTGACCAGAAAAGAAAGTAAGCAGAAATCATTTAGGCATGTTTTCAGAGTAGGGTGAAGTAATGGGGCAATTAATTTAGACATGTACATAACATAATGATTTAAGAGCAAAAATAAGAGGGCAAAACAGATGGCAAAAAGCAAGAAGGGTATAGACAGCATTAACTAACAATACAACCAGACCAAATATAGGGACTGCCTATCTCAGAGAATTAAGGTAAGAATTTGGTTACACTCTAGAATAATGGTGGATATAAAAACTACTGGACAGGCTATATCCAGTAACAAGAATGTAGACTCTGATTTCAAGATCAAAACCCAGGTGCTGAAAGAACTAGGACAACTGCCTGCTGATACAGTCGCTATTGAGAAGTGAGACAGCAGTACAGCATTGATGTGGTGCTAAATCTCTTGATTTAGTAGACTTAGAATCAAGGGAAACCATTACTTCTCCAATCATTCTAAGTTTTTTTTTTTTTTTTTTTTAGATGGAGGCTCACTCTGTTGCCCAGGCTGGAGTTCAGGGGCACGATCTCGGCTCACTGCAACCTCCACTTCCCGGGTTCAAGCGATTTTCCTGTCTCAGCCAGAGAACAGCTGGGATTATGGCATGCACCAGCACGCCCAGCTAAATTTTTTGTATTTTTAGTAGAGACGGGGTTTCTCTATGGTAGGCAGGCTAGTCTTGATCTCCTCACCTCAGGTGATCCGCCCGCCTCGGCCTCCTAAAATGCTGACATTACAGGCGTTGAGCCACCACGCTTGGCTGTTATTATTTTTTCCATGTCCTTTCTTAGTATAATCACAGGGACTGGATTCAAACTAGGGATTACTTTATTTTAATCATAGTTCTTACTTCGTTATGACAGCAGCCTTAGAAAACTGACCATGTTCCTTAGAAATTGGTCAACCCTGCCTTAGTGCTCAAAAACACCTCAGCCTTGTGAACTAGGGTAGGGAAACAAATGAAAATTCAGGATAGATTTGGGACTAAAAATGTATTTTTATATTCTTTCAGATTATGTAAGATATTTTATGACAATAGTTCAATGGCCAGGAGTTAATGTTTACCCTCAACTAAATATTCTATATTTCTAAAATGTTCTTTAAGTATCATATTAGATAATTTTTAGCTCAAAATGTTATAATTTTAAGACAGTTTCACCAAAATTTAAGTTTTATATCATTTTTTCCTGAATGCTTATATTTTACAAAGTCGTTAGACTAAACTACATATTACATTTCTTGCTTCATTATTCTTGTGAGGAAATTATGCAGATACCCTTATCTTTCTTCCCTCTAAGGCATTAATGACAATCTCCAAGGCATATTCTGGTCCCCTCATTAAGAGAGAAAGAGGGCAGTCATGGTGGCTTATGCCTGTAATCCCAGCACTTGGGGAGGCTGAAGTGGGCAGATCACCCTAGGTCAGGAGTTCAAGACCAGCCTGGCCAACATGGCAAAACCGCATCTCTACTAAAAAATGCACCAGGGTGGTGGTGCACACCTGTAATTCCAGCTACTTGGGAAGCTGAGGTAGGGGAATCGCTTGAACCCAGGAGGTGGAGGTTGCAGTGAGCTAAGATTGTGCCCCTGCACTCCAGACTGGGTGAAAGAGAAAGACCATGTCTCAAAACCCAAGTAGCTGGAATTACAGAGAAATAGTGAACAGGTGGAGTATAAATTCTACCACAAAACATATAGATACAGATGGAATTGTAACAGTAGAAATCTCTATTATTTTTCAAAAGAGTCAACTGATATTTAGCAATTTCATGTTTTGTGTAAACTCTAATGGCTAGGTAATGGTAAAGTAGAGGCATGCTTTACTGTCTCATGCAATTTCATCCAACCAACCATCTATCTACATGTTTAACCATCCATTCATCCAACTATGTATTAATACATTCAGGTATTTTTTATTTAGCAACTTTTAAATTTCAGTTTCTTACTGGGCCTTATACTTATTAATTTATAGTTTAGTAAAGAGGTAAAAACTATAAGTTGTGATAGAGTGATAATCACAAATTGCTACAGAGGGTTACCTAGATCAGACTAGCTAAAAATAATTAGAAGTTAATGTGTCTCTCACATAGCATTACATATACATTATTAGTACACATTACTTCTTGGCTTTTTGTTGAATGACAGAATACTTTTACTGAAAAATAGGCCTGAAGGTAAATTAAGATGATTTACTTTCTAAAGTAATTATGTAATCTTTAAATATATTTAGAGATACAGTATAAATATGAAAGGAATAAAAATGATGACCTATTCTCAGTATAATTATTAAAATAAAAATAATTACAGATACAAGATTTGATATATAATTCATTCATTGATTTGCCAGTTATTTAAATTTCCTGTCTTACATTTTGCCTACAGGAAGAGGTTTTGAAAGCTTATCTGACAGAAAAAAGAATGTATGACATAAAAGAAAGCTTCTTGTTAATCATTCTCAATGATTAATTAAAGGGTGAAAGTAAATTACAAATGGAATATGACAGTTATCTTAACAAGAGTCATTTTTAAAACATTAGGTAATGCCAATGGGCATTTTTTGTTGTAGTTCAGTATAAATTCTGTAGTAATTAATTACTTTTTATAATTAATGTTTGGGGTGCAAGGAGTGAATATGTACTTTTTCACAACAATAATTTTACATTAACACATAAAACAGGTGTGTTTTTTAAAGTGGGCAAGTATTCTGACTAGAGTAATACACTTAGAAATATGAATGTTTGCTATCAAATTTTTATCATTGTGATTATTATACATTAACTCCAAGTAAACTACATTGTAAACCAGAAATGTACCACGTCACAGTTGCTAACTCAATCTTCACAATAGCTCTATGAAGTATGTTCTATTATTATCTCATTTAAAGATACGGAAAATAAGGCACAAACATGTTTAGAAACTCATTCACTGGATTAAGCTCAAATCTGCCTGACTTCAGAGGTATGATTCACCATACTCAAGGCTGCTGCAATTTAGCATTTATCCAGATGCCAGGTAAGTCCAGGCTATCTCTGCTAACTCATTTGTGGATTCAGGATGGCATGGAGCACTTAACTCCCAGAAAGACGGAGAACTAATTATCATTTTAAAAATTCATAATGCTCTTGAAGCTGAGAAATGGCTACTAGGAAAATGCAAGGCAGTAGTCTTGTTGCATTGGTTGTGAATATGTGCTCTGATTACGAAAAAGAAAGGGAAGAAATCAATTGCTGCTCTTCATAGCTCCTTATTGGTAGTACCAGCTCAGAGCTTTAAGAACTGAATTCATATTCTTTGTGAGAAAGCCCACATTTGACCTTTCACTGTTATGTGTAAGTGACTGCTTTAAGAATTCTAACATTCTCTAACTCATTCTAACATATTAGCCCCAAATGAAATCCTACTTCAAAGAAAGTGAATTTTCCCCTCCTCCAATCAAGTGGCTGCTGCTGAGTCAGAACACTCTTTTGGCTCCCATCATCTTCCTGCATTTCTGTAACAGCTTGGATAACAGAAAACTTGCTTTAGAAGTTTCATTCACTTATTTATTCTATTTTTATAATAGGAAAAAGGTATCTTAGTCTTTGAAAGCTGACTAGCTTGAATGTCAGCCTCTTCAAACACTAAAAGTTTCAGTTATCTCAGAATAAAGGGGATAATAATAAGCAACTTGCATGATTATTGTGAAGAAAACATTGGATAATTTTTATGGATGTACTAAGTATACCACATTGCAAATATAGGTGATGGGGTTCGGAATATGCCCCACCAAAATACAACTAGGAAGTTAGGAAACCTAATGAGGCCACTCCAGTATTCCTCCTTAGCATAAAGATTATTTTGAGCTAGTTATTTTGAGAAATTATAGACACAGGTGAAACTTTTCGCTTCTCCTCTTATTAATAATTCATCAAAATGCCCACATTAAAAGATAAATACAAGCACATTAAACATGTGAAACTCTCTCTCTGCAGCATGCTCTGTGGACAGCTCAGCATCATTTCTAATTTGCAAAGAATGACAAATTTCTGACTTACAGGCAGGATGCCAGAGTCTTGACTACATTTTTTTACATGAAGAAACAATTAAATATCTAAAGTTTGCTTAAATAACTGCCTATTTTGGAGATGTGTCTTAATTCATTGCATTTGAACAGAGATTATTTTTTAAGAACACAAGCATTTCTGTTAGGACCACAGTTATCAACATTGGCCAACACCAACTTCATCTTCCTCTGCATGAAGTAACATACAGTTCTTCTACCAGAAAAACATGTTAAACATGTTAGAAAGGAAATAAGGAAGTCTAGGTGAATCCTAAAATAATCATAACAGCAGCTATTGCTTTATTGATTAATCATGGTTATCTGCCTAATGGAAGGAAAAAGGGGGAAGGCATAATTTCCAGATTCCTTAAAGATAAGATACAAATGCTACATAGTACAAGTTTATAAAGGATACATATTGTTTTGCAGAGTTGATTAACAACCAATAAAACAGTAAAACCAACGAGCTTTTACTGACACAATGCAGTATTAGGCCACCAAAATGCAAAAACGATCAGTCTCTTTAATACAGAACATTCCAACCCTCACCAAGAAAATCAGACAACATACTTAGGTGAGAAAGAAAAAAAAGAGTGACTAAAAAACGTGTATATCAAGTCTGGGTCAGGAAAATGGCTGAATCAATTAAATAACAGTGAAGTCTTGACCTAGAGTTTATGTTTATCAAATGTCCAATAAAGAATGCATGAATAAACGTAGTGAGCAAAAGAATGAATACATTTTATTTATGTATTTATTTTTATCTAGTTATTTAATGTGCTAAAGGGG